CCTTCACCTCCTCCGTCCCCCTCTCCTCCTCCCTCCCATTCCGTAGCTTTTTGAATGTTTCCATCGGCGCTGTGTTCGTCGTCGTCCCCCACTCAGGGTCGGCGGCACCGGCCGCAAGGCCTTCGCAATAGACTCGCACAGTTCTGATAAGGATGCTGCCGAACAGGGCGTGCCAGGGGCCTACGTTGACATCAATCCCGCCGACTACCTGGTAGAGCAGGCGGCTCAGAAGCGTGCGTTGGTACAGGCGGCAGCGCAGGCAGTCAAGGAGATTGACGCAAGGGCCGCCAGGTCCGCAATCGGCTCGCCACCATCCTCCGCGCCACCAGCGAGGCCGACCCGCAGCCGCGGCGCGGCGCGGCTGGCGACCGAGCACCACCGCCGACGACTTTCGAGCAGGCGACGCGCAGCACCGAGCACGAGGCCGTCGTGCTCTGGGGCGGCGAGCGCGGAGCTGGAGCCGTGCAGATGCGCTGCCGCCGCTGCCTCTCAGAGGCCCGCGGAACGCGCCACGTCTGCACGCGGTGGCTGCCAGCGGCGTGCGCAGGACCGCCCGCACTCGATGCTGGGCGTGGCGCCGCCGAGCAGGGAGCGACCGCCGAGCCCAGAGCGAGCGTCGTGGTCGTCGTGATCGACGTCGTCGTCGTCGTCGTCGTCGTCGTCGTCGTCGTCGTCGTCGTCGTCGTCGTCGTCGTCGTCGACCTCCTCCTCCGCCCTCCTCTCTCCTCCCCTCCTCCCTCCCTCCTCCTTCCCCCTCCTACCCCTCCTCCTCCTCCTCCTCCTTCACCTCATCGCCTCCGCCTCCTCCTCTCCCGCCACCGCCTCGGCTCCGCCTACCGCCTTCTGTCCTCCTCCTCCTACTCCTCCCCTCCCCTCCTCCTCCGCCTCCGCCTCCGCCTCCGCTCCGCCGCCTCCGCCTCCGCCTCCTCCTCCGCCTCCTCCTCCTTCTCCTCCTCCTCCTCCTCCTCCTCCTCCTCCTCCTCCTCCTCCTCCTCCTCCTCCATTGTTGCGAGATGTGCACGCGTTCCACGACCTGCGGGCTCGCGGCACAGTGCCCGTACGGTTCTGTGCCCGCTGCGGCTCGGTGTCCGCGCGGGAGGGCGGCGTCGTGGACGTCCTGGCCCGGCCTTGCCTGCCGCCCTGCGCCCCTCGGACCCAGAGCGGGCGCGATGCCCTCGTCCGCCTCGACGGAGGCCTCCGGCCCGGCACATCCGCCGCCGCCCGCGAGTGGAGCGCGAGCCGCTTGCAGCGCGAAGGCGTTGCGAGGGGACGACGCCGCAGGTGGCACTGAAGGTGGTTCAAAAAGGCCGCCTCTTGGCGATGGCGGCATATATGGCTGGGGCTCGCGACGGCGCAGACGCAGGCGGGGTGGCTGCCCCAGGCCGCACGGGGGCGCTGGCGTGCGCGGGCGCCGGCGCCTTCTGACCCCCTGAGGGGTGCTCTGGGGGCCTTGGCGGCCTCCTTGGAAATCCTGTGGGTCCCTTGGGCCAGGGGCACTTCTAGCAACACCCGACCTTGCCCCGTCCGCCGCCCCAGCCACCCCCCCACCTGGCCCTCGCCAGTCCGCGCCACGCCCGTCCCCCCATCGCCCCGCTGCCCACGTGTTCCGTCTGCCTTGGAGTCACCCTTTTCATTTCGGCACATTTGCACTTCATCCTGATATTAATGTGTGATGCGCACGTGTTACATGGGCGCAGCCCTGCCAGCAATCATCACGATGCGTGCAAGAACGCTGGTCATGGGCACGCCGACGAACACTACGACCATGACGACGATGATGATGGCTCTGCGTCTGAACAAAACGTTGCTTCCTCGCCGATATGATTAGAGGGGTGCACAGAAACATACAAACTCGGAGGTCCGCGCGGATTTCTCGAATTGGCGCTGGACCCCCCTCCCTGGCGCGCGGAGCGTGCCAGGGGCGGCGCCAGAGGCGCCGCCAGGGGCCCCCAGCGCCGATCCGAGAAATCCGCGCGGACCTCCGAGTTTGTATGTTTATGTCATTGCTCGTTCCCCTAACTGTGCCCTGCTAGCATTTCGCCAGAGGGTAAAAACAAGAGTAGGCAAGAACCCCAGAAGAGTGCCACAGAGGGGACAGGGAGCCCGGCACCGCCCAGTCCTGCAGCAGCCTGGCGGCGGTGTCGCCTGAGATGTCGTCGCCATGCATTGAAGACTCGTGTTCTTGCCCCAATGCCGGCCACATGGCTGGTCCGGAAGGCCACGGCCCCTTCTCAAAAAGTACACTGAGGTGCACATGGCCGTGCTCTCCGAGTCGTGCCTGCTCTTCGTGTGGCCGGAGCTCCACTCCAACGTACGGCTCTCACACAAAAGAACACATACTGCCGCATTTCTGGCTCGTCCTCTGGCCAGCACTCCATTCCCGCGTACGCTCCTGACGCAAAGTGAACGCCTCACCACACGTCGTGCGTTTCCTCAGAATCCCTAGGAATACTTAGGAATGCACATTTGCACTAGCCGATCTCCTACTCTTCGACCAGCCTCTTTACCTTTGCTGCTGTTAGAATGCTTGCCTGGGGTCTTCGAAGATTGGCAAGAGGGAAACGGGTCCTGAGAGGAACAGGTCCATACCCCAGGGCCTTTCCACAGGACCAGCTGGCGGAGGGCCCCGAAAGGCCGAGAACAAGGAAAAACCTCTGGACCCGTTTCCCTCAGGACCCACTTTCTTCGGAGAGGCAGTTAGAGGACAATCGCTCTGGGTTCAGGTCAGGCAGGTCCTCCTACAGGCGGATTTTGGCCGACAGCGAGACAATAGTGAAACATTTTCGAACATGGTCCAAAAGTAACTTCAAAAGTCGTCCCCAGACTTATGATGTTGGATGCCCTGCTGAGGGCTCTACGCCGCGAAAAGTCCGAGATAACTAAAAAATAACTCAAAAATAGGTATTGCGGCCATACGAAAACAAACACGAAACTAACAGCAGAAATTGGTCACGTGATCCCGAAATGCGGGAGCCCGCGCCCAGAGAAAGGGCGGCGCAAAACGCAACTGCAGCCGCGCGCCTGGAACTGCGGGGGGGGCCTCTCATGGAATGTGGGCTTCGAGCGAACGCCTCAATCACATCGTCCGCGACGGGGCCCGCCGCGCAGCGTCAGGATGCGACGGGCCACGCGCGCGTGAACCGAACAATCGGAACGGCCCGCGCAGCACCGAAGGAAGAAACCCATCGTTTCTCGGGGGCCTTTTGGGAGCCTCTGGGTTGGGTGCCTTTTGGAAGCCTTTGGGACCTTCCGCGGGGCGCCCAAGGGGTCCTTGGGTGGCTGTTGGGGCCATCGTGGCGGGACGGTCTTGAAATGGTAGTTCGTATTTCAGTTGGGCCGTTCTTGGGGCCCCCTTGGGCCGCGTTAGGCCCCCCTGGGATAACTTTTGGGCGGCGCGTTGCAATGGCGCACGGGGTATGATAGCATAGTGAGAGTTGCCATGGCAATTAGGAAAATGTACGATGACACAATGAGCGGTAGGAAGCGTGGCAGGGCACAGCCCAATGACGCGCGGGCAAGGTAGAGCCATCATGAGAGTGCGGTGGGGACCGCGGCGTTGCACGGCTGAGCAGGTGAAAGCACGATTTAGCGGTCGCGCCAGGGGGGCTACGTAGATTGCGCGATAGAGGACGACGTAAACTAGAGTAGGAGAGGAGATGATGCGACCTAGCGCCCTAACTCATCTTCCACATCATCAACTGCCCCCGTCATGGGACAGCTGGTGATATGGAAGAGGTGAGGTTGGGTTGGCCTCCTGTGGTTGCTCGGGCCTGGATGTGAGCAGGAGTTGATTAACGGCTCCAAGATGGCTCTTGTATGTTGTGCTGCTACGTGTCGTGCCATGGCGAAGCCTCCAACAACAATCCAGGTGCCAGCGATAGACCTCCAAGAGGCCCACGAGAAGCATCCCACGATACCCTCGCATGCACCCCCGAGGCTCCTGACCCACAGGCCAGGCAACGTGGCACGACCCTTGCCGAACCCATGAGCTGCCATGGTGGTTGGCAGAATGGAACCAGTCGCTTGAATAACGAGGAAGGGGCCGATGGAAGACGAAGCGAGTCAGGGATACGATGGGGAAACTTGAGACAAGGACGATGACAAGGACAATCACCAGGATAGACAGGGAGGCGAATGAGGACACGAATGGAGGACGAGGGGGCGAGGACATGAGGTAGATGAATACCGAGAAAAAAAGTGGTTAGGTTGCGTGTTTTTTTGTTGTTATGGTTGGTCGCCGTGTTATCTTTCCCACCGCCTCGACTCCCCCTCACGCCCTGACACTTTCTCCTGTCTCGCAGGCTGGCCCGTCCGAGCGGGTCGAATGCCTGGCTGCGAGCTGGACCCCAGGAGGAGGACGAGGGCTCTGGATGGGGGCGGTCTGAGATGGGGTGGTGGGGGGCGGTTGGCGGGGAACCATGTGGTTGGCCAAACGGGGTGGGGGGGGTCCTTGCTATCCTCATCCCACTCCTGCGTACATTCCTCCTCCACCGCCTCCTCAGAGCTTGACCCTCATGGCCAAGGCGTCTTTCACCATCTTGGCGAGGAGGGCGGGCAGGAGCTGCTGGTAGTCCTGCACATACTTGCGGACCTCCCTGATCTCGCCCTGCACCTTGGCGCGCAGGCCCGCGGCCTGCTTCTCATTCCGGAAATGGTACATCAGGACGCCCTGGAACTTGATGCGGCGGGCTCCGTAGATCTGCTGCCTGGCGTCGTCCA